TATTTCTGTATTTCCGTATTTCTATGTATTTCTATGTATTTCCATGTATTGCTAAGTATTTCTAGGTATTTCCAGGTATTTTTATCCATACTACGTAGAAATACCTAGAAGTACGTAGAAATACCTAGAAATACCTAGAAGTACCTAGAAAAACCTAGCAATAGTTAGAAATACCTAGAAATACTTAGAAATACCTGGAAATACCTGGAAATACTTAGAAATACCTGGAAATACCTAGAAATACCTGTAACTTTTCAGGTATTTCTAAGTATTTCCAGGTATTTCTAGGTATTTCTGAAATAGAGAAATACTTAGAAATACGCTTTTTTCCCCTTGTACCAGAACCATTTTTGGTGTTGGAATCGCAACTGAAACAGACACAAAGATCATTGTGTAAGACGTACACGATATGTCATACTTTCGCGACTTATATGTGCTAAAGGTATATGAGTAATGATCACTTCAACATTTTCTATCGTGAATACGTTGATATTACTAGGAAATAATATCGCATTTTTCACTAGTACATGTCTTAAAAAGCATAAAACCATATTTCAACCTATGTACTTCAACATTCTTTTAGATTATGTTTTACAAAAACATTAAAATCTATTAATAAAATAGTTTACCTATGAAAAAATGATTCAAATGTATAAGCAATTGTTTCACAAGCGTCTACTTTTCGAACACTAACATCAGTTACTTGAACGTTTTTTGGTGTTGTAAAAGTTCGATCCTGTTCAAGTATTTTGGTTTTGAATGGAGTTGTACTTTGTTCGGTTAAATCAAAAATACGATACTTTGAATTTTGTTCACTTGCAGAAAGCATTTTAGCTGCATCATAACCAGATGATATATCATTAATACCAGGTAATTCATCAATACAGTAACTATTTGTAATAAGAAGTAAAAGAATATTGAATATAAACATCTAAAAATAGAACTTATACATAATCATTTTATCTAAAAAAACATTGCTAGGACTATTTAGTGAATTTAAATAGTATAGACATATATTTTGACTTTTAATGTCAACTTAAAGTGAATCAATAAACATAACATGAATTAGCAGATGCAGCTGTATTACATGTGCGTGTATACCAATGAAATGTAGCTCGATTTTGGCAGAAATTACGTTTTCC